AGCTATTTTACTGGTTCGCCTTCCTTTATAAATTACACAAATCCTAAAAAAAAAAAAAAAAAAAGAAAGAAAGAAAACATGACCGAGAACGTACATTCGTTTCGACTTCAGGATTAGAGTTAATTCCAAAGCGTTACAGATCATTGGATCTGCAACCCATTTCACCCGCGTTCGCAGTTTAGCCGCGGGTGTCGGGTGGAAATTACAATCCCCTCGACTGCACGGTTTAAAGGGTTTCCTACGGCTTCAACTGGTGCAATAATCCGAACTTCCTATTCTAAACTGTGTCTTACTGTTATTATTAAAACAGCTGTCAGCTGGGCTTCGGCAGCCTCTTTGTACACCGTTTATTCAACGCTTTGGGATCCTCGAGGATGCGTCACACCACAGACCCCTCAAAATGAGCTCTCAGAACCTGACGCGCTCCCGGGGTCTACGACCCTCATTCGAACGGGCACCCGCAGAACCGGGAGGAGAACCGCCGCCTAGGCACAGGCAAGGCTCGACCTCACGGGCCCTGCAGGCAGAACGGCAGCGCGGCCGCGCTCTCCCCCGAGACGAGTAAAGCAGCGATTTCCGTCCCCCTCTCTCCGCCTCGCTCCGGGACCCGGTACCTCTGCCGTCCGCTCCCGGGGGGCCGCGACGGTCTCCCGCGGCCGCGCTCGCTCCGAGGCTCGCGGCGGGAGCGCGCGGCGGACGGGGCGCGCCCCCACCCCCGCCGCCCCGCCCGCCCCGCCCCGCCCCGCCCCGCCGGGTCCGGCCGCGGCACGCCGGCGGCGCCCTCTCGGCCGCGCTCGCTCGCACGCACACGTTCCTCCCGGCCCCGCCATGTTCCGGGAGGCGGCGGCAGCCCGGCCCCGGGGTGCGCCCCGCGAGCCCGCCGCCCCACTCGGCGCCCCTCGCCCGCGGGCAGCTCCCACCGCGCCGCGGCTCCTCGGGACTCCGGGAGGGGCGGCGGCCGGCGGGGCGGACCCGCGCCCGGGCCACTAACGGCTTGTCACTGTCAGGCCGGCGGCGCGCAGGGCCGGGCCCGGCCGGCAGGCGCGAGGCAGGACGGGGTGGGCAGGGCGTGTCCCCTACCTTGCTCCGGGGAGGGGGGACGGGAGCGGCGCGGAACTGAGGGGTTTCCTCCCAGGCGCCGGGGACGGGGCTCGAAACCGCGCCCCTCCTTCCTCCTCGCCCGTCGCCACGCCCCCCTCACCCGCACGGACCCGAGGCCCGGTCGGCGCAGGAGGGTTTACCCCCTGAACGAGTGCCTCTGCGTCGCCGCCGCTGTCGTCTCCGCCTCCACTGCAACCGCCAGGAACGCCGCCGAGGCCAGGCTTGAAAACATCTCCGGTCTCCGTCCGTCTCTCACCACAGCCTCCTCGCTCCCAGGACAGCGCCGCCAGGCGATTGGCTGGGGCGCGGGCACGTGACTCCGCGGACACGGGACGGGCGGCGTGACCGCCCCGCCCCCGGCGCCGCCCGCCCCTCTCGCCCGCCCCTCTCGCCCGCCCTCCCCGCGGCCGCGCCGCTGCTCTTTCAGCTCCTGGAAGCGCCGCAGGGCGGGGGAGCCGGGCCGTACCACGAGAGGGTAGCGGGGGTGCTGGCCGGAACTCCCGCCGACGTGCCCGGCGCTCCCCACCTCACCCGGGTGTCACCGCCTCCTCTCCGCCGCCACCCGCCCAAGGAGGAAAAAGAATCAAAGGGTGGGCCAGGAGCGCAGCGCAGGCGCCGCGGACGCTTCCGGGCCCGCGAGTTCTGCCATCACTTTTTGTGGCGACCGTGGCGGGGCCTGTGCCTGGAAACTTCTGGAAATGGTGGCGGCTATGAAGACTCTGTGTAGGGTATTCATATTATTTTTGCCGGGCTGAGTGGACGAGTATAGGGGCTCGGACGGGGTAAAGAGATGCTCGACGGGGGGCAGAGGCCAGGGCGGCTGCCCCCCGCGGTCTCGGCGGCGGAGGGCCGGGCCCGACGCCCTTGCTAGCGCCGCCGCGCGCCTGCGCGCCGCGGTCAGGGCCGCACCTGCGCTGGAACTCGCCGGGGCGGCCGCGACGCGCGCGCTCGCTGCGCCAGGTGGGGCCCCGGGGCCCGTCCGAGCTGCACGTTCTCGGGCACCTGCCCCGGGGACCGCCCAGATTCCCTACTACGCTCGCTCCCATTTCTTTTTCTTTCACGCTTTGATTGTGACCTTTTAAAAGATGAAAATTGTTACAACAGCCGGGATTGAGGATTTTGGAGGTAACTGCTCAGGTGCTTAAGTGTGAGGAAAATTTGCTGTCTCGGCGTACTAGCCGCGGGTGCTCCCATTTCCTTCTAGAAGCTTTTTATTTACATCGAGGTTAATCTGAGACAATTTGTACAAGCCTTTAAGCAACGAAAGGGTTATATAATCTGAGGGAAACCATTTTATTCTAACCTCCTTCTGGGAGCCTTTTGTTTACATCGAGGTTAATGCTACTTACTATTTATAAGAAGCTTTTGACCATTCCAGGGGTTATATAATTGGAGGGAAACCATCTCTCTCTTCGTTGGTTGTGGTCTCGAAATTCTTAAAGCACCCACGTGTGACTTAATGAGTGCAGTTACAAATTTGTCAACACAGAGACATTTCAGAAATGAAAGAAAACTAAATTCCAAGGTTACTATTTATAAAGCATAAAAGATCACTAGTTTTTCCTTTCCTTGGTCCCTGACTTTTCCCACCTGTAAACATGAGGTTCTCTGTTAATGAGAGCACTTTGTGGTTAGAGGTGGAATAGTGTTACTTTTAATCTGGACATTTATAGCATGAAATACGGGGGGCGGGGGAACCCACTAAAAATTGAACCAGCTTTGACAGCTCCTTACAAGTCATTGAGTTGACTCTTTTAACTGTCACAGGAGTAGGTAAAATAGTATGGCAATAACTATAGCACGAAGTGCCTCACTTCAACACTGAAAGTTAGCTAGTCTGCATTTGCTGAAATTTAGCCATAATTTATGACAGTACCTCCACTGAATACATGACTCGTTAGTTGTGATCGACACTACTGACTGCACTCAGTAGGACAACTGTAAAAGGTAAGTTCATAAAACAAATTATAAAAAAATTTTAATGTTCGTAACATTATAAAACGTTATAAATCAGTCACAATTTGTTATCTGAAAGGTTCAGATGAAACTTAAGCAATTTTCATTAAAATTGAAAACAAAACACGGTATTAGATTCTTTGCCAGATCCATGAAGAAAAATGTGAAGGAAGAAAAAGGTCCCTTCCTTTCATTCTCTGACCTTGAATTGCCTGGTTAAAATGCCTTTTCAAAAAGCAGCTATATATAGATTCTTCACCAACTGAAAATGTGAGAAGTTGAATATTTTGTTGGCTTTTGCCATTAAGGAGCAATTAGATTTCCTCCTCCAAATATCCCTTATTTTTAAACAACAGAGTCAGGAACTGAGAAGAGGAAATGAAAGAATGAGAGATGGTAAAAAAAAACAAACAAGCCCTCCTCTATCCCTACTTGTTTGAGAAATAGGCTGGAATATAGCTATCATCTCCAGCTCCCTATAACTGGGAAGAAAATTTTAATCACTGTGTTTATATACATTTTGAATCTTGGCAATGGAATTTCTCTACCAAAAATTTTTAAAAGCTAATGAGGAAACTCATTAAAACAAATTCTCTGTATAAAATTGATGATTTTAAAGGAAAATAGGCAAAAAAGATGAGTCAGGATGGATAATAAATTGCAGTACAACATAATCTATGTCTGCGAACCACAGAATATGTATTGACAATGGTATAGCAATGTCTGTAATTATAACCTAAAATTTTCTAATTTTAAATATTAACTCTTTAAATTGATAACCAGTGTGTACCCTATATTTTTCACCCAGTATCTGAAACCTCCTCACTTTTCTAATGAAGAAAAAAATTGTCAAAGTGCAAGACATTCTTACAAAAGTCAAGAGTAGCATTAATTTAATGGAATACCTGTTTTTCCAGAACTTTAAATAAAGGCTTAACAGTTAACAAAGAGAAGATACTATTTTAACAAAGGGACAAAAGTAACTAGTCAAAGTAGTTGCCTATGGGAAAGAGGTCACTATTGTGGAATGGAGGCATTCTTATTGTTACCTTCTAGTGCCATTGACAAATTAGTTATTGTTTACCTACTCAAGTAAAAAATTTTTAAAAACATTCTTAAATAATGCCTTTAAGTATCATAATTACTAATGAATAGTCTGTCACAAAAGCAAGGCCAGTGACTTTGTAAATCCTACAAGTGGGTTAGTTTAGATTTATCCCTATATTAAAATTGGCTATTAATTTTCAACTTTCAGAAATAATGTACTATAGTTTCTTGAACCAGATATAATACATAAAAGGTTCTTTACTTCTAACCTGCAATATATATTCAGCTTAAGTGTTTGTATATCCACTCACTGACCTTTCCAACAAGTGTACTTACTTTTTTTTGTTAAATCACTCATTAAAGGCACCACCTCAATTCCTTCCCCCTCCCAATTAATTTTTATATGCTTGCAGTGTGTCAGAATAGGCAAGGATAAAGTCAAAGTTTTTTTATCCTTAAAAGTGTTAAACAGTATACTTCTAGAGACAACTACCTTTTATCCTCCTTACACCTACAATCTGCTTGAGGTTTCACATACCAGATGGAAATACAGCAACAACTGTGTTCTGTAAATATAAAAACATTTAAAGGGAGCTTTATAGAAAGAGCATGTTAACTTAAGACTTGGCTATGGCTAAAATAAGAAAGCAAAATGTATTTGACAGAATTTGTCCTTTATAATAACCTAATATTACTGATAAAAGTGACCTAGTCTTGGAAATGGGTGACATTCAAGTAAATAGTTAACTTACTATGGAACAATGTCTTCATAGTAGAAGATAGCAAAAGACTTTAAAATGGAGCTTTGAAGAGTTAACATAGCACATACAGCTGCCAGTTACTAAGTTACCACTGTGTATAGAGAGCACAACAAACAAATAATTTAAAAAGTTTATGTAGGTAGGTGATTCATATTTTATTTCTCCAATAATATATTTACAGTTGAATATAAATTAAAGGCCTGCTTGCACACCAAAGCCAGGTCCTTTGGGTGGTTCAGTCAAAGAGGTCAGACCCCCAGCTGGCTCACAAGAGAAGCGTCCACTCCTGAAAAGAAAAATTAGTAATATTGAATTGACAAAATCCGTACTTTTAAAAAAGTACCATTTTTCACCTCACAACAGCCCAGTTAAGTAACTACTTTCCCCTCAAGAACTAGCACAATTTTCAATTCAAACATTTCAACTGCTGCAAGATAGTTTCTTCCTAATGTTAAATTTTATATTTTCATACATATAAAAACTCACCATAAATATAAAAGAAAAAAAAAAAAACACTAAGACTGGCTCCCATTTATTGAGAAGTGAGCACATGTTATTAGTTCATCTAATCTTTACAACAATGTCATAAGACAGGTAATTGGCGTTATTTTACAGATAGAGAACCCAAGGACTGAAGATTCAGCATCTGCATAAGTATCAGAGCTAAGAACTATGGCAAAAATAACCCAACACCAGAGAGCAGTTCTTAAAATTATGTTTTAGTAGTTAAACTAGTATACTACACATTTATTTCTTCTATATCTGACTTTTATTTAGATTAAGATCCCCTGTCACAGTGAACATAAAGGAATACAAACTTAAATGCTGTATTAGGATATAATACATAAATTGGATTCCCTGAGAAATCTGAAGATTTGGGAGGCTGTTCCTTAGAAGCAGTAAAGCAAAATCTATTTGTATTTATGTTCTAAAGGCTGTATTAGTAGTATTAATTTTTTAAAACACAAGTTCTGGACCAGGGTGACTGAGTATAGTAAAAAAGAAAACAAAGATAGTGATGTAGGAAAATACGAAGACAGGTACACACAGGTAGAACCCGTCTCTTTTATTCACCCCCACATATACCTCCCTCAGGTAATTGGTCAACATCTGCCCTGTCTGAACTGTGCTGCTGGAGGTTAGCTCAGCACCTACTTCTATTTCATCCCCCTTATTCCTTGGCTTTGTTAATTTACCTTGTTCCTGCACCAGACTTTAGCCGAAGAATTTGTTCAGTTTCTTTTTACTCTCTCTGGCTTTACCCTTCATGTTTTTTCATAAAGGTATCTTAAATTGTGCAAAATTCTAGGGGGTGCAGATAATATCTGAGATGTAAACAATAAAGACAGGCTACAAAATATACAAAAAATATAGGTGGTTGCTGGAGGGCAACTATAGAGAATAAAGTCACTTTTTTTATACTAAAAATTGGAGCAGTGGTGGATATATTTTAGCAATATTAAAATGATAAAGCACTAAACTTTGATAAAATAACTTTATAAAACTAAGTATGAAGAATTCAAATTGGATTTAAAATTGTTTTAGTAATTCATATTAAAAATAACCTCTATTAGTAACTTGAAAGCAGGTTTAGAAGTTATTTTCAGTGCTTTAACTGAAAATAAGAACAATCTCAGCAGCACAAATACTTATTATCCAAATAAATAAAAAGTATCTGTCTTACCATCAGTTTAATGTTTTCTTCCTAGCTATTATTAAATTATTAAAATAATTTAAAAAGCAGTTTTGAACCACATAAAGATAGCAATCTTTTACTAATTTGGCCAGGATAGATTTGATAATGGTACTCAGAAGTTAGTTTCTAATAAACCAGTTTAATTTCTCTCATAACTCAGACTAACTTCTTTCAACTATGTGAGCAGAGAGCTTTATAGAAGTACTAAAAAAGAATTAGCCAGATTTGGTCATTTTAAGAATAGCTATAACTGCATTTTGGTTATTACTGCTATCATTCTAGTTTCTCTAATTATCTTATATAGCCAAAAAAAATTTATTTGGGGAAGGGAAAGTAGTTCTTTCCATATGCCAGGAAGACATTCTAGAATCACCATGCCCAAATACAAAGCTTTATGTATTGGTGGACATTCTATACTTATTGAAAATAATCTCTGCTTTTTAAAGAGGTGATAAGTAGAAAATACAAATAGGTTCAGAAAGCTGAAACCTAGGACCCAGTAAAAAAAAATCCTAGTATTTACAATTACTGATAAACAACATTCCTATTAAATTAGTAATTGAAAATGCTTAATTATGGACTTTGTTCCTATTTATTAATGTTAAATTATAATGATCTGCTATATTAAAAACAGCAACAAACTCTAATTTCACCCCTGGTGGTCTCATCCAGACTTACAGATTGAAATACCCTTTATATAGTATCTGACAAATCCCCCCAAATTCATTCTTCCAGCCCTAATCTATGCCCTAAATTTCAGGCTCATATTTACCTTTCAGCCTTCTACCATCATGGATGTGTAAGAGGCACTTTGAACTTAGCATGTCCAAAACCAAGTCACCTTTTCTTCCCTAAACTTGCTCTACTTCTTATCTTCTCCATTTAGTTAAAAGTACTGAGATGCTCAGACCAAAAAAGAAATCACTCATGATTCCTCTACCCCCCCCCAACATCCACGAAATTTTAAACTAGTCCCCACACAGCAACTAAGACATTATTTTTAACTAGATCATTCATATCTCCCTACTGAAAACATTCCAGTAACAGTTTCCTACTAGATTTGGGATTTAACCCAAATTACTTATCTGGTCTCCTACCTTTGCATCTGGCTTTTTCTGACCACTTTTCTCCTCAATCAACTCACTGCAACAATACTGTAATCTTCTGTTTTTTCTCCAGCATCTTAATACATCCTCTTTACCCTCCCTGGAATAGTGTTCCTCAGGTTCTTTATGTGGGTCCTCAAGTCATGGCTCAAATGTCACCACTTCAGAAAGAAGTCTCTCCCCATATACCTACAATAATTCTCTATCTTTAACCCGGCTTTCTCTTCATAGCATTTATCACTCAGATATTACTGTAACATCTGAGGACTTTGCCTTCTTTGTAATTACTTGTATAACTTGAAATAGTGCCAGCATACTACAGGCACCCCAGAAATACTTGTGAAATAAATAATGAGGGAAAATAATAAAACAGACAAACTCTGATAGATTAATGCTGGATAAATATTGTGATTGATAGGTCACAATATTCACAAGAAAGGAAGCAGGAAGTTTCGTCAAACATTAAAATTATGACTATAGAATTTTAAGAAAGGGACATCTAAAGGAACCCAGTGGATTTCATGTGGAAATAGGCACTTGAGATATTAAAACAAGGACCCCCAAATTGAAAGAATATACAGGTTCAGTACAAATACACGAGTAACAGTAACTTATTTTTAAACATCTGAGTTTTATAAATTAGTTGAAGCTTGTAGAAAATATTACGAACTTTGTTTTGCCCCTAAAAATTTAAGTGTGGTCCCAAGAAGTGAGGAACTAGGAAGAGAATGCTGTACACCTCCTTAGAAAAACTATTCAAGTGTTGAAAGAAGTACATGTTTCTTAGAAAGGAAAGTTATAGTCAGTAGAGGCTAGCTTGCCTTTATAAACTAAAGTTATCCTGAATTGACCTCATTTTCTTATTAGGTAGGGTTAGTGATCTGCCAGTACACTGGGTACTTTTAGAGCACGGTTGACCCACTCATACCCTCCCACTTAGTAATTCAATGTTAGGGAATTGTCATTTATACAAAAGGTAAGAAAATATATTTTTAAATGTTTAAATATAAAAAAATTAAAATTTTTTTTTACACACTAGAGTATGTCATGAAAACCTATAAATATGTTGAAAGTGAAATTTTATATAACATAAGCAAAAAATATATAAAGGGATACAACTATATAAAAGCATGCAAACCCTTGCTAGTGTTAGGAAAGAATTTCAAATGAAGTGAACACACAGATATGGAATAGGGGTTTGTTTAGCAACAAAAGTTCAAGTTCATAATTGAAAGAAAACTAATTGGCATAACACAATTAAAGGATGAGAGCAGCCTGGATAAACAGTATTTAGGTTTAAACAGATCTAGGCATTAATTCTAAGTGCAATTAATGGCATAATGTATGCTGAATGTGAGTTGATGTAATTAGAACATGATACTCCAAGTACAATGTCTTGAACAAAGGATACAGTCCTACAATGATTCACACTGTTCAGCACATACCCCAAATACTGTGATTAGTTTAAATAACATATTTAGTCAAATCTACTGAGCAAATGAGGCAAAAACTGTCATTGAAAAACAATGAAAGAAGTGTGCATTTAAATCTGAGAAAAAGATACAAGGAAATACACTAGCCATCACTTGGGAAAGGTATGAAAATTATCTTGTACTTTTTCAAAAGGAAGAATTGGATCTGTTGGACCTCCCTGGTGGCGCAAGGTGTTAAGACACAACCTTATTAATTATGGGGCAATCCCCAGCACTGCAGCTCAAGTTTGATCCCTGGCCGGGAAGACGGCCCACATGGCATAACAGACCTCTCCTGGCTCATCCGCTGCTCCCCTCAGCAGTGTGTTTCAGTAGGTCTGCCTATTCTGCTCCCCACTCTCTCTGGTGAATCCTCTCATCCCCCCTACACACACACCTCTGGCCTATACCCCAGTTCTTGAATGCATGAATAAATAAATCTTAAAAAAAAAAAAAAAGAATAGGATCTTTAGAAATTACAGTGAAACTGTGAGTCACTTTTTTTTTTTTTAATAGAGGCATGTTTTTATTTATTTATTTGTTTGTTTGTTTTGTTTATACATGCACTGGGTACAGTCAGATGCGCGGGAGGGTGAGAGAATTCACCAGAGCCAGAGCAGGGAGCAGAGCAGGCAGAAGGACCGAAGTACACTGCTGAGGGGAGCAGCGGGTGGCAGGAGAGGTCTGCGTGCCATGTGGGACCCTCCTCCGGTGGCCGGGGAGCAGCTGGGGATCAAACCGGCGCCGCAGAGGCCGCAGGCAGCTTCGCAACCCAACGCTCAACCGCTGCGCCACCGGGGAGGCCCCCTGTGAGTCACTTTTTATTGGCATGAGTTTTTAAACAATGGAATAGATTTCCATTTGTCAGTAAATTTCCCTTCTCTATAAATATTCAATTAGATATCTGATGATTATCTGATAGGTTTTTACAGGAAAAAAATTGTTTTAGATGACAAGTTAGTTTAGGTATTATCTAATGCTCCTGCCAACTCCCAGAATCTAAGACATATTTTTTTGAAGTTTACCTGAAAGACTAATTTAGGTTCAGCCATTAAATTTTATTATATAAAAATAAAAGCATACCTTGGTCCAGGTTTTGGATTTTTGCCAGCCTTGAGCTCATCAATAATTTCCTCAATATCCTTAGGTGTCAGATCCTCCTAGAGAGAAAAAAAATTTTAATAGTTATACTAAAGTTACTTCAAATACTGTGTGATTTCACTTATATGTGCACAATTGAAAAAAAAGAAAAACTAAATTAAATAATTGAGGTTTTGGTGGTTACAGAGGCATGGGGTGGAGTGTAGGCAAAATGGAAAAGGAGGGTTAAAAAGTACAAACTCCCACCCATGAAATAATCAATCTATGGGGATAAAATGTACAGCAGGAGGACTATGGCTAATAATGATATACTGTATATTTGAAATTGATACATAAACTATTTAAAAAATGTATGTGATATGAGAAGTCATAATATATGCAAATACCAAATCATTACACTGTACGTCTGAAAGTAAAATATTACATGTTGATTATGCCTAAAATTTTTTTTTTTTTTTTAATAGAGGCATGTTTATTTATTTATTTATTTTGTTTGTTTGTTTTGTTTATACATGCACTGGGTACAGTCAGAAGCGCGGGAGGGTGAGAGAATTCACCAGAGCCAGAGCGGGGAGCAGAGCAGGCAGAAGGACCGAAGTACACTGCTGAGGGGAGCAGCGGGCGGCAGGAGAGGTCTGCGCGCCATGTGGGATTCTCCGCCGGTGGCCGGGGAGCAGCCGGGGATCGAACCGGCGCCGCAGAGGCCGCGGGCAGCTTCGCAACCCAGCGCTCAACCGCTGCGCCACCGGGGAGGCCCATATGCCTAAAATTTTTTAAAAGCAATAAAATTACTCCAGACTGTTAAAATCTCAGATCTAAGTGACCTGAGCTCCCAAAGTTTGTTTCTTTATTTGTAAACCTACTTAGGAGCATTTCTGAGGATTAAATGAGAAAATATCTAAAACAGAACAGTGCCACACACATACTCAACAAATGCTGGGTTCCTGAAGAAAAGAGGTGCAAATAATAACCACCAACGGTAGTCACAGTAACTGAAAAATAGATGCCTAATATCTGCCCCTAACTTAAAGATCTAACACTAATTCTGACAGTTTTTGTAATGGTCTTGCCTATCCAATCACCTTTTCAACCAAAACAAGCTTTATATTTAGTAAACTGTACACCTGCGTAGAATTTTCGCCTCAAGAAAGAACTCTGCAATTTAAAGTTAGAAATACAATTAAAAGAGATACTTGTGTGTACACCTAAATGAACTCTAGGTTTAATCAAAAGTCAGTAACAACAGAATGGGCAAGATTACACTCGAAGACGTCTAAATATTTTACCCTTTTCCTCCCTCCAAAACTGTAAAACATTTAAGTTTTGTAAGATTTTGGTTCTATATTAGAAAAATCATGATTCAATACTGTAGCTCCAGTATCTAGCCACACAGGTCTTTAGTATTTCCTGAATGACTAAGCATGTATAAAAATAAAAGGCTGCTTTTAAACTGCTAGAGGATAATTGGTTTATGGTTACAGATACTCAGAACCTCATATCTAGAAGGAATCTTTAGTCATCTAATGATTTTGTTCCCCTTCCAACTCTTTATTATGAAAATGTGAAAACTACACATGAATAACCACATTCCTATCATCTGAATTCATCAATTTTAAATTTTGCAATATTTGAATTATGCCTTTTTTTCTGGCTGTATCATTAAACAAGTTGCAGACATCATGATAGTTCATCTCTAATAATTCAACAGGCATCTCTGAAGAATAAGAACATTTCCTTATACACCTTAATGCTATTACCACTCCCATATAACACTAATTCATTAATAAAATCAAATGTCAAGTCCATATTCAAATATAGCCAATGATCCTCAAAATGCATCTCATGACTGTTATTTTCCTACGCAGAAGCCAGCCAAAGTTTACGTGACTATTCATTTTTACCTACTGGTCAAATAAGACCCATAAAAGTTAACTGTCTGGGTGCCAACGAGAACTGCCCCAATGAGCTTTGGAGTAAGCTGCACGGCTGCCGACTGGAACCTGGCATGGATGAACTTCCGTGGGCTTCCAGTATCACCCCACATTCTAAGTTCCAGGTGCCATGGCAACCAACTGGAAAATGCCCAGAACAGTGGGAGAGGAAGACATACACCAACAAAAGCCCAAACTACAGCACAGCAAACCCAAAACAAACAACGGGGAGAAAGAAAAATAAAAACTGCTAAGCAAGTCCGCAGGAAAACAATTCAAATCTCCAAAACCAAGTCATAAATACATGGAAGACATTTTCTTTCCATAACATACAGAATTCAAAATTGCCATAGTTATGAAAATCAAAGAATGGGAATGATGCAAAGACAACCCAGACAAATAGTTCAGAGATATGCAAGAAAAATCAGAAAAGCAATGATTGCTATGAGAAAATATCAATGAAAATAACATAGAAATTGAAACTTTAAAAAAATAATGGAATTGGAAGATGTGCAAAGGTCAATGGAGATGAAAAATTCTGGAGAAAATGAAAGAAGAATAAATAGAAAGTAAGATCAAACCAGTAAACCTAAATATTTGAACAAGCAAAGAATGAAAACAGAAAGAGATACAAAGGGGAAAAAATGAAGAAGCACTTTAAGAATTATCTGACACCACAAGAAGAGAAAGGGATCTGATAATTTATTTAAATAAATAATGGAAGAAAACTTCCCAAACTTGAAGAAGGAACAGAACATACAAATAAAGGAAGCTAAAAATACCAGACTTCTCTGAATGCTTTGGGCAAGAAGAAAATGGAGAAACATTTTAAATGCTCCAAGATAAAAATTGCCAACCAATTGGAAAAAAGGAGAACAAAAAAAATCCAAAGCAAACAGAAGGAAATAATAAAAATTAGAACATAAATAAATGAAATAGAAATCAAAAAGACAGTTCAAAAGATAAAAGTTGGTTCTTCGAAAAAATAAAATAGACAAATCTCTCCCTAGGCTTATGAAGAAAATGAGGGAGAAAAGGAAAGAGAAGTTACAACACTGCAGATATTCATAGGATAATAAGAGATTACTGAATATTTATATGCAAACAAGTTCAACAACCCAGAAGAGAGGGACAGAGTCTTATAATTATACAGTCATCTATGACTGAACAGGGAAAAAACAGAAACCCCAAACAAACCAATCACAAGGAAGGAAATGAAAACAGTAATCAAAACTCTCCCTAAAAATAAAAGTTCAGGACCAGAGGTTTCACAAATGAGTTCTACCACTTTGAAATCTATCACGCTCAGATTCTTTGAAAAAACTTATAAAGGAGCACTTCCAAACACATTTTAAGAGGTCAACATTATGCTAACACCAAAACCAAACAAACATAACACAAAGCAACTACAGATTAACCTCTGTAATGAACACAGATGGAAAAATCCTCAATAAAATCTTAGCCATCCAAATTCAACAAATGCATTAAAAGGATTACACATCACAATCAGTGGGATTTATACCATAAATACAAGAATGGTTCAATAACCAAAAACGAATTGATATAATTTACCATATTAACAAAATGGAGAGTAAAAACTGGATGATCATATCAACAGATGCTGATTAGAGTCAACAAAGAATTTGATAAGATTAAGCATCAATATTAATGATGAAAACCCTTGGAAAAATTGGGGATAAATGAATTACATATCTTAACATAATGAGCTAAAAGAAGAATCTAAGAAGCCATCCCAGTTATTTTACAAAAAAAAAAAAAAAGGAAAAAGAAAAGAAATTGAAGGATATTACCTGCTGCTCATGATTTGGAAGAATCAACAGTGTCAAAGTAACAATCCCACCCCCACATCAATTTACTGATTCAAATGTTGGTGAGGATATGGTGAAAAAGGAACTCTCCTACATTGCTAGTGGGATTGCAAACTGGTCCAACCACTTTGGAAAGCTGTCCAGAGGTTCCTCAGTCTACTAAAAATGGAGCTAACATTTGACCCAGCAATTCCACAATTAGGGATCTACCCAAAGGACACAAAAACACTGATTCAAAAGAACACCTGTACCCCTATGTTTATTGCAGCACTATTTATAATAGGTAAAACCTGGAAACAACCCAAATGTCCAAAAATAGATGACTGGATTCAGTCATCTATTTTGAAGATGTTTTATATAAACACACAACGGAATATTACTCAGCAATCAAAAAAGATAAACTCATGCCATCCGCAGCAACATGGATGGAGCTAGATGGAATTATGCTCAGTGAAATAAGTCAGAAGGAAAAAGAAAAATATCACATGGTTTCACTTATAAGAGGAACATAGGGGAACCAAATAAGACATCAGTGTAAAAAAAAAAAAAAAACAATACAAAACAAAAACAGACAATTATAAACCAGAGACATCCTGCAGGAGAGGAAGAGAGAAAGGGAATAGGGGGGAGGGAAGAGCACAGGAGACTGGTGATGGTGCACGGGAACACTGGTAATGGAAATTCCATGGGGACAACACGGGTGGAGGGGGGGAGGAAAGCAAATATTTAAAAATGAACAATGATGTAAAAAAGAAATAATGTTTGGGCCTCCCCAGTGGCGCAGCGGTTGAGCGCTGGGTTGCAAAGCTGCCCGCAGCCTCTGCAGCGCTGGTTCAATCCCCAACCGCCGGCAAGGGTCCCACATGGCGCGCAGACCTCTCCTGCCACCCGCTGCTCCCCTCAGCAGTGTACTTCGTCAGTCTGCCTGTTCTGTTCCCCACTCTGGCTCTGGTGAATTCTCTCACCCTCCCGCGCTTCTGACTATACCCAGTGCTTGTAGAAATAAATCTTTTTTTTTAAAAAAAATTTAAAAAATTAAAAAAATAAAATTGTACATTTCTACTTCAGGCATCATGGCAGGCCAACTATCCTGACTGAAATTCCTGTTCTAACAACTAATAATGCTGAATAAAATAAAAACTTAAATTTCACCAATATGCTGACAAGAAAAAAGGTATCCAGAATCAATAAACTCAAGGAAAATCCAGAGAGACAGGCAAAATTAGCTTCAGGGTTTCATAACCCAGAGTAGCAAGAAACCAAGCCTCAAGTCAAAGATGACCTTTAAAGCCAAAGTTAAGACCTATAAAATGCTATTATCTCTATATAAGGGAAAACTAGAAATTAAACTGTCTCTCAAAAAAAGGAACCAAAAAACCAAACAAACCAAAAAATTCCTAGTCTGGAATTTTACATATTGGGAGGAAAGAGGAAATATAAGAAGAGTTTTCTTTTGGGTCAATTGTATTTCCAGAAGCAAGACAGAAGCAAAACAAATCCCATCCCGAATAATTCCTCCTTTAATGCAGACTTCAAAGAATTTCTAGAAGCAAAATTTCTAAGACATATGAGCTAGAAAGATATTATGGCTGAAAAAATATGATTTAATTAGGGCAGGAAGCAAATTACAGTTAACTAAAAAACTTCACACACTTGCATTAAGAATAGTTCTTTTTTGGGGGAGTGGGGGGCGGGAGGGGAGGGACTGGGGTCAGAATGGGGGGGTTGCAAATGTATGGGGAATATAAAAATAAAATTTATTATTTAAAAAAAAAAGAATAGTGATCAGTTCTTGTTCCACATTCAAGCTAGTGATAAAAAAATCCATGACCCTTTAACGTGTTAAAGAATATACTCTAACAAGAAAACAGAGCACTACAATCAGAGATGTTTTTGAAGCCAGATAAGTTACTGCAAAATTGATACAGAAAAAAAAAAAAAAGAAAGTTCTTTTTAAAGTATGTCAAAAAAGAAATCAAAATGCAAATTTGAAAATATTTAAAACTACATAAAATACTACTTCTCAAAACTTGTGACATCCAGCTAAAGCAGTGCTTAGAAAGACTATGATGAGTGTGGCCACAAACATTTAAAAAGTTTAAGAATATGTATGGAAAGAATACACCCTAAATTTATGATAGTGATGTTATCTCTAGGAATCAAAGGAAAGAAAAATGATTCTAGGTGGGGGCACCACTCTATAACTAAACCTACTTCTACAAATAGTACTGATAAAAATAATTACACCTGAAATAGATGTGGCAAACTGATGAATTAAGTCTTGGTGGTTATTTTCCATAAGTATATGTAAATTAGGTTTTTCACATTTTATGAGTTTTAAAGATGTCATCATCTTCTGGAATTAAATGCAAAGATGTTTAAAGATAATTTTTTAAAAAAATTTCTGGATATTTAGTTTTCAAAAAAACTTCTAAATGAATAATTCAGAAACAAACACCTATAGGACAGGAAACTGATATTTAAAATATTTTAAATACAACATCACACAACTTTAAATTCTATTAAGTAAAATACTCACATAGTAGTTGTCATTTATTTGAACCATTGGTGCATTTACACAGGCTCCTAAACATTCCACCTCTATAAGAGTGAAAAGTTTATCAGGTGTAGTCTCCCCAACTTTTATTCCTAAAAATATAAATAATTACTGTAAGGACCAACTTTAACAAGAACACAATAAAGAGACAAAAAGTATTCAAGAACATCAAATGTCTTTAAAAAATTCTGTGTTAGTCTATGGGGACTACACGAGGGGGAAGCAAATATTGTTTAAAAATGAAGAATGATATAAAAAAAATTAATAAAAAAAATTCTGTTATCAAAGAGCACTCAAAGATTTAAATGAACTTGTTTCTTTTAAAACAATCAAATTTAAGAGGGCTCATTTCCAGTGTTTGTTGTTATACAGCAATGCATCAGACTGCATTGTTTTGATCACTATAATTAACCTACTAAATTCAATCACTATCAGTTTGGCTAATGTCCGAAATTATTACGATTATGAGGAAATTAGGTACCCTCATATCTCTAGGGAAGGCATTTGGGGAAAATACAGTAAAATCTGACCCTGCAATTCTATTACTTGTAAACAACCTCATTATACAATAGAGAGATATGCAAAGATGCATATACATAAAAGTAACTGAGAATAACTTTTAATAGAAAATGATGTAGACATATATGCTATAGTCAAAATAAAGCACAAAACCCACACATTACATTAATGTCCTTAATAATTAAAACAATTGAAATGACATAAAATCTGAAACTAATATATCCATTTATTACTAGAATTTGTACCTTAGAAGCGTGGGTGGGGTTTTATTCAGACATCTGTTTTGTTTTATGTATTTCAACATCGCCCAACTATTTTCACAACATGCAAGTAACTTTATATTCAGTTGAGACAACTTCATTTTTTTTTGACATATAGCTATAAATATAACTATGGCATTTTTCTATGGAAAAGTGTCCTTTCATTTTATAAATGCCACTTAACATCTTATTTAAAATTTCCCTTTCTGAAGCACTCTTACTATTCTTACATCATTCTTGTTCCAAGGATCATTTAAAAAATATATGGACAATAGAGTTACTTCTTTGTGTATCACATACTTTCACAAAGTAAGTACAACTTAATTTTTAAGACAATGAAAACTGTGAAAACTCCTAGAAGCTTTTCAAATGTTGTTAATGATTTATAAGGTGAAAACTCAGCTTTGAGGCTGAGAACTAAAGAAGAATACAAAAAAATAAAAGGGAATAAAAATGAGTAAACAGTAAAAAAAAAAGTATAGGTAAATATAAATCCAAAAGATAAAACAGCTGAAAATTTTATGAGGAATTAGATTAAATCTAGAAAGACAATTCTATTTTTCATAAAAGCTATAAATATAATGTATCCCATACCAAGTTTTTTCTGGATGGCCTCCAGTATGCTGTCAGAGTTTCGAAGCATGCAAGGTGTAGTAGTGCAGACCTGTATGTGATACTTTCCAACTGGTTTTCGGTTATACATTGTATAAAAAGTTGCTACTTCATATACTCTCATTGGAGGTACTTGTAAAACTTCTGCAACCTAAAACATTAGGAAATTTTTTAAGTAACATAATTACAATGTGTACTGAGCTTTAGTTAAGTTGTAAAAAGCATAATTTCAATATTTCTTCAGTTTGATGAAAACTTCTTCAAAAGCAGAAAATACACCTGTATTTGATATATACCTTCAATTTTACAGCTACCTTACATTCAAACAGCACAAAGCCCAGGTGTAATAGTTACACCACTTTCTTCTCCCCCTTTTACTTAACCCCTTGTCTTTGCAAAAGGATCATTTTCTTTTTAATTCAAGTCTTTCACTGTGAAGAATTTCTTTGATCACTTCAACTCTTGTATTTTATAATTTTATTTCATGAATGGCAAAAATTCAGTGGCCAAATGCCAATATATTAAACAATTATATTTTAAACCTTTCAGTGATTTTGCAAAACAGCCTTGATGGTGCCGGGGTACTGGTATACTGAGTGCACAGAGTATGGCCAAAGAAAAAAGGTTCAGAATAAAAGCTCACCTATTGGTGCTTATTTGTTTTCATATCTACATATTTATATATATAGATGCACACCAGATATGGATACACAGCTCTCCAGAAAAATCTAAATACTTCTTCTATTTCCCATTATAAATCTTTCTACAAAATCTGGATTCTTACAGTTATTTATAGAAAATAAGTGTTTTACTTATAGGGCTTTAGGAACAAGGGAATTACTGAGCACAACCCCCTTGGTTAGGGCAAGCCTGTTAAGATGATTTTTTAGCTCTTGCTAGGGTTGGTTCATATACAGTATATCATGACTATAATCCTGACTACAACTTTCTACAGTCATCTAATATCATTAATCTATCATTAAGATGAATCTGTTTTATGATTTAATATCTGGCATTCTCAAAAATTATGCATATATTTGTGGCTGGTCATTAAAGAAAAGCTTGTTAAATGGTTTTTCAGACGACAAATATATTGAACTTTTTCATATCAGGAATTCTAAAGTAAACATATTTTCAAACGACAACTAATCACAGCTCACTTGTGAAAGATAAAAAAAATGTGTTAATTAATTCATAATACCAAACCAGGCAGATACCTCTTAATCTAGGGAGTCCTCTCAAAATACACACAGTGGAATCCTACCTCTGAAATAATTGGATAAATCTAGAGTAAGGCCTCACTTTCTAATTCGAAATGATTTTCCAGACTACTGCCACATATCTTGCTATGCCTTACAGATGACTAAGGAACTAATAAACACATGAGCTTCTGAAACTTTTGTTCTAAGGTTGGGCTTTTTGGGGGTGGGGGGGGCCTTACAAAGAAGAGTAACATTAAAACAAAAGTCTCAGGGTCTCCCTGGTGGCACAGCGGGTTGAGCGCCCGTGCCGTGAAGCTGTCTGCTCGGGTTCGATTCCTGGCCGTCCAGGGAGAAACCCACAAGGCAAGCAGACCTTGCCTGTCTCGCCCGCTGCTACCCTCAGCAGTGTCCTTGGTCCATCTCCCTGTTCTGCTCCCTGCTCTGTTTCTGGTGAATTCTCTCACCCTCCCGTGCCTCTGACTGTACCCCAGTTCTTGTATAATTTTTTTTTAAAAGGCTCAAATGTAAAGTAGAAAGGATATTATATTCTGTTTCCTCCCTCTCACACATACACATACAATTTTAAATAAAATATTTTAAAAATGTTCTCAAATTAGTTTCTCATTTTATTTTGCTCTGCTCAGCTTGCCATCATTAAAAATGTGAATTTTTGCTACAAAAAAGTACCTATTATTGGAAATGTACCAAAAATCATTATTTAGAATACTGGTAGCACATTATAAAAATCAGTGTAATATAGAAAACCCCAAAGTAATTATTGAAAAAATAGCCACTTGCTATGCTTACTTTAGCACAGTACCAACCAAACTTGCTTCATGATATTCTTCAGAGTCAAAAAAAAAATACTAAGGGCCCACAACAGTGCTAGGGTACTGCACTAGTGCAAATTAAAACAACAAACTAAATCTAGAAGTTACATTTAATATTTCATGTAATAAACTGAGGACATTCATTTTTCCAAGAAAGATAATGTTCTAGCCTAATAGTTACAACCATCTAAAATGTAGAGAGAGGTAAGAATAAGACTGGTCAAACAGAAATACACTGAATTGGAAATGGGTTCCCCCCTACTCTATCACTTAGAAATCACAACATAATAATTACAAGAGATCTACCTAGTCCAAAATTTTTACTGCAGATAAGGAAATAAGTCCAAAGAAAAAGTTAGCTCTCTTAGCTCAAAGTCAAACACACTTTCCATTATATTACATTGACTATAAAGAGTATTATGAAGCAAATTTGGTTGGTGCTGTGCTTAGTAAACATAGCAAGTAGCTATTTTTTTCAATAACTATTTTGTGATTTTCTATGTTACTTACATTGATTTTTATATTATGCTACCAGTATTCTAAATAATGATTTTTTGGTACATTTCCAATTATTATTATTAAAATTAATGATTTTAATTATTAATCTAATTAATTTGTTTTAGCAGATCCTTTTCTCTATAACTCTAGTGGTACATTAATTTTCAGAACATCCTGACAGCAAAATTATATATATATATTTTAGATCTTTCATCTTTATTATGGCCATTGCTCTCAAAAACGGGGTGAAAAGAAAACTCTTTCACCATAATGCTTTTACTATTTCCTGCAAGTTTAAAAATTCCACCTTCTAAGGTCTCTAGATTACTAAGGGAACCAACAAAAACACAATTAGAGGAAACATATAAATGGTTCAGGGGCTTCAACCTTCTAGATTCTAACTAGACTATCAAATTAATGACTATCAAAGAAATTTCTAGATAAGGTCAGTTTAGATACACAATTACTCCCTTTCCAATCTAAGACAAAAATGAATTCATTACCTTGTTCATAGCAGAGATGGGCAACCATCCATTCTGTCTTTGGGCTAAATCCAGAACTGGAAGCACAGCTGCTGCTTTATGTCCTTCTGGGTAGTTCTTTACAATTGCTTCTATCCTCTTTATCAAAGAAAAAGCATCTATTTTTATATATCTGGAAGATACTAAATATTTTTTAAATCTACTATATAATGTTAATGCTGTCATACCTTATAGTTTTCTGGTGTGAAATCAAATGGAGTATCTGGGTTATTCTCAGGAGTATCTCTGTGCTATATATCATAGGGGAAAAAAGTTGTCCAAAATGATTAAAACCCTCTTCAAAAGTGTTAACTTTGTACATTTTCACATTACTAGATAGTTTAATCTCTTAAACTTTAATTCCAACATGATATATATATACTGGCCTATCTTTCCATCAAAAAAATAGCTAACATTATCAAACAACCAAAATTATTAAACACATTTAATGAGTATGATTACCAAAGCATTATGAAAAGGATTCAACATTTTAGAAAAGTTTTAAAAATCACCCTTAAAAGGGTAAGAGTGGTTATTTTTGGACCAAAAAACAAAAAAGTGTTAGCCAACTTGATAAGATAATAAGATCTTTTAAGGTAATTACCAAAACATTAGCAATTATTGGAAGCCTTATAAAGTTGACACAAAATTTTAATTGTGAATATAAGTACATTTTCCCAAAATAGATCATGTCAGGTTGTCAAAGTGACACACTATTTTAGCAAGGGTACAATAACCACCATATCTTCTCCATATAAATAGAAACTAGCCAGAAACAAGTAGCTTTATTTCTTCTCCATGAAAGAGTAGGCCCCTTTCAAAAACTGACAAATAGCATGTCAACAGGAAATCAAATGAGTCACATTGAGATTAACACTTATATTGAATAATGTTTTGTATGTATGGTGAACACAGAGCTGAATCCTTTAATATGTTAATAACCCTTACTTTTTCAAGGACATGAAAAAATGGAATGAAAACAATCTTTGGGCAATGATCTCAAATATGTCTTTAAACAAAAAATGACAAAATATAAAACAGGAAACTGCTTATCAATAACATGGCTAACTCATTTATTAAGATTCAGCCTGGAAATAACTCAGCTTACAAAACTGTACCACAAACCCAAAATCATACAATTCTACTAAATTTCCTTTAAACAACATTAGATTAATCCCTGAAAACTGTAGCTAGTCACAGCTAAAGGGATATATTATCTTATCCTTTCTGAATTATACAACTAAGCTGGAATGTTCATTGACCACTGCCTGTAATTAAAGCCTGGAAACCAAAAGTATAAAGCCAACTGCCAGTGTATTCACTGTATACTAAAAAATGTAAGTTTCAAACTAGTGTCATTTGGGGATTCCCCAAGTTGCAGTCTCAGAAATATTCAATGAGCCAATATGACTGATTATTAAGAACCCAAAGTATAACTAGAAATCACATTAGTGCAAACAGCAATTTCACCAAAGAATAACCTAAATTCTTATTCCCAGAGTTGACCTGGTGCCAATTTAAACATGAGAGTTTCAACTAGAACCACGCAGCATCTTTTGAAATGTAGCTAATTCAAAAAGCTGTATCTAAATTTCCACAATGGCAAACATAAACCAAAGACGTGTTAGTGTCTATGATAGTTTGGATTATTACAGCAGATTCACTAAATTTTCAAGTCTTCACTCAAAAGAAACCTAAGTAATTACTTACCACAAATAAGGCTCCTCCAGCTCCATTTTGCACAGCCGTCTTATGCACATTCCTTATATGTCGTCCCTAAAATTTTAAGAAAGTTCAGTAAATCACAAATCTTAAATAATTTTTCATAAGGAAATAAAGATTCACAATTACAAAAAATGAAATGAACTAAAAGATCTTAGGAGATATGGTCTGCTACCTACCCTGCCACATCTATTAAAGGAGTTAGAGAGTAATGGAAACCCTAAGGTTAAGATTAATTGTGTGCCCAAAGTCACACACAAAAGTCAATGGAAAAAACAGAACCAAACCCAAACATCAAGTACTGTATTCTTTCTACTATATACTGTTGGCATACATCTGGAGACTTAATGTACCAGTAAGTTACTGCTTTTCACTTTTATTTGAATCAAGTTGAATGCCAGCCTTCTCTTAATGTGGACCTTTATAAATGTTTTTATTCTGTACAAATGAGTCATACAGCATTGTACAAATGAGTCAACTGTACCCCTCTTTTTAATTCTTTACTAAATTAGTTGAGAAACTTTAGACAAAAAAGTAGTTTCAGAAGCTATTTACGATGCTATGCAGAGTAACCATGCTCAACTGTTTTGGAAGGAATCCATTTGATTACCCTCTCCAACGCCCTGTTGGCCATCCCCCCCTCTTCTTTACCTTATACTCCCTGAATAGTAATTCAACTATTGTTCACAAATCCTCCAATTTCTGAATTCTACCAAGCACAGATGTAGAACACTGGATTAAACCAAGCGTGGAACTGGCAGAGTTGAACAATTCAAAGACGGCAGACATAATAAAAAAGTTTAAGCAGTGATATAATATCACCATAGATTTAACTTCAGGTACAGAATGTGACACATATATAAAATACAGGAGTGATAAATACCAATTTTAGGGTAGTGGAGGGGAGAGATAATACAATCAGGGAGCAGTATACAAGGGGACTTCAACTGTGTTGGTTTTCTTTCTTAGGGAGCAAGTAGATACAGTGTCTATTATCTTGTTTTGTTTGGGGTTTTTTATTAGTGTCTGAAATAAGTAACTTATTTTAAAAAAGAATGCAACACATATTAAAGATACAGTTGTTACTAAACTTTTATCCAATGTCTTCCAAATTGTTCAGTTAATATATTAATTATAATAAACACAAAGTAACTTCTATATCCCTGATTTGTCTGTCTAGAACCTGGACTGAGAGAAACATAAAAACTAAGGCCATAATTCCCAAATACCATAAAAACATTCTCACCATAAAGCTTTAAAAATTTAACTGAAACTAAATTTATAAGATAGTCTCTTACATCACTTCAGCTGAGGTTTTTTTTTTTTAAGTCAAAGTGATTTTTATTGAGTAACACCGTAAGTTACTTAATTCACCGGGAGATCAAAAGATTTCATAATAAAGCAAGGAAGGATTAATTTAAGAGTAGGAAAAGTACCCAATCCTTTCTTCTCTTCACTCTGAATCTTAACATTTTTATTTTTATTTTTTTTCTGACTTTTTAATCCATGCCCCCACTTCAAGGTAGGTTGTCATCAGTGCTCCATTCTGTCCTAAATTCTTTCTACACAAGTTTCATATTAGATATTGTATCCATTCTGAACTCTATGCTGACTCATGAATTTCCTACACATTTTATCACAAAAATTAACAGCCGGAAGAAATCATAAATGCATATAAATCAATGAAAAAGTATGTAAACATGAAGAAAAACTTCACAGAACTCAGTTAATAAACTGACTTGTAATTAAAAAAAAAAGCAATGTATAATGAGATAACATTTCCAGCTATCAAATAAGTAAAAAATTTTTAAAAGAGAATATTCAATTATGTTAAGACTATGAAGTAGATATGTGTATACATTACTTAAAACTGATACAACTTTTGATGAAAGCAAAGTAGATATGGTGTATGGACAGACTATAATTTAACCTAGTAATTCTACTATAAGAAATTTATCCTAAAGAATAGTATAAAACATGGATAAAGGCTTATATACTAATATGTTCTCTGTCTTTCTTATACGATAGCAAAACATAAGCAACCAAAAAGCTTAATATGGGGAATTTTTCATTAACTATAAATAATTCTAACAAAAATCACTATATAGCTATCAAAAATTACTATTTCCTAAAAATAGTGACACAGAAAGCAGTACTTATGCCATAATCACAAATGAAAAAATATCAGGGTTAAAATCTCTAAGTTAAAACAGTTTCAATTTTAGGTCAGTATTTGATCCCTATCTCATTAATTCAGGATCTCGAGGTACCTTTACTTAAAATAAAGCAACATAATCTTGAAAACTGGCCTTTAAGCCTATGTATTAGAAAATATTGGAAAATCTATTCTGAGAACTCTCTGGCTAACCTATAACCCTGGATATACACATGAGTTTACAGGACACTTCTATTCAAACAAAGCATTTTAAAGTCCAAATTGCTGGCCACAAACTACTGATTGAGAATGTCAGGAAAATGCCGCTAAGTTATAAAAAAGAGCATTTCATTCAGATTGTTTTTATCAAGATGTGGATTTAGATAACCACTCTACCACTTACTAACATGTGACCTTACACAAGACATTTTTCTGTAAATCTCAATTCCTGCACCTGTGAAGTAGATTTTCACTTGAAATGTTTTGAGATTTGAATAATAGTTTCCCTGAAAGTACTATATAACCTATTATATCATTATCATCTGCACAGCTGACATGGGGGTTAAATTTACATTTAGTAACTAAGAAATGCAGAATTTAAACAACTATATTTTAAGAAGTAAACAGATTTTTTTAAATTGTGTTTTGTTAGTTGACTAACGAGTCACTGTCATACGGTCACAAAAGAACAAATTACTGAGTTTCTGACATTTGCACAAAACAATTTTTTATTATTTATATCTGTACTATGTCAATTTTCTAATAAAACATACATTAAATGATTGAAAAATACCATCTCTTTCCCCCACTGAAATTTTTACTTAAACTAAAAGAAAATGGGTAAGGAGTAGTGCTGGTGGGCAATTAATTTTCCACTTGCCTCAGGTTTCCACACATCTTTAGAGGCACTAGCAGTTTTTGTTCCAGACAATTTTTTTCCGGGATTTTTGCAGAGAATGTCTCCACCTAGGGAATAGGTTGAGCAAGTTTTCTTGCAATCAGGATTGGTTTCCTCAGATGCAATGCACATTATTCACCTAGGCTCTCACTCCCATGGAATTGGAACAAGAAGTTTACGCTGCCTGCTGTACCCTGAGTAATAAAGTCCTCTGTCTCTGACCAAGGCATCTCAGTCGGCATCCATGAAACTCAGACAGGTAATTTGTTGGCTTGCAAGTAGGGTAAAACCTCAGACCCTTTATAATTCTTGAAAAGGTAAAATAAGATAAAATAAGCCAGTCTCATGCCCTACTGATTTTTCAAAATACAGAAAATATGTAATTATTACAAGCAGGAATACAATGAACACAGAGATATCTAAAGAAACCTGTAACAGTGGTTGTCTCTAGAGAGGGGGATCAATGATATAGCATGGGAAGGAAATTTACTCTTAATATATACAATATATAGTAATATTTATCATAATCTATATTCTGCCTCTATTCATTACTGTAATATATATTTTATATTTACTGCAATTTCTTTATCCTTGCATACTGTCTGAATTTCTTGCCTTGTATATGTAGTGCATTTCCATTCTTAAAAACAAAGTCTTTTGTCCTTTTCCTCTTACTATCACCACTCTAATTCTGATATTTCTTCAGTTCTGTGCATTACTCTTAAGTGTTTTCTAGCTGACCTACCCCAATCAAAATTATCCTATCTAGGACCTGCCTGGTGGCACAAGGGGGTAAGACTCCACACTATGGAGATATCTGCAGCCCCTACAGCACTGAGTTCGATTCCCAGCCAGGGAGATGACCCACATGTCGCAGCAGACTTTTCCTGCCTCACCTGCCGTTGCTTCCCTCAGCAGTGTATTTCGGTACATCTGCCTGTTTAGCTTCCCACTGTGTCTCTGGTAAGTCCTCTAACCCCCACACCTCTGGCCTGCACTGCACTCCAGTTCTTGCATAAATAAATAAATCTTTAAAAAATAATAAATTATCTTATCTAATGTCACCAAATGAATCTCAAAAATACTGTCCTTCTGATGGTATTTATAGTGTGAAAGAAAGGACTAATACCAAATAGGAAGTCAACATCATCATTTTTAAAAACAGTATTTTTCACATGCTAACATCTCGGAAATTGGGATATATCACTGGTTATCTGATTTTCCACAAATACCCTATCTGCAGAGACAATACAACAAAGTGGCTAAAAGTCTCTTAACCAGTTTCATTTGTAAAACTGGAAGAAAAGCATATACTTTACAGGGTCGTTGTGAGGATTAAGAGCTATTTCATGTAAAGTGTCTAATGTGCTGCCTGGCACAGGTTAAGTACTTTATCAGCATTACCTATCACTAGCTATTATCTTTAGAGAAACTATGTGCCAGGCACAAAGCTTTTTACACATTACTTAATTCTTACATGCAAAGTGTGTATTATTTCCAGAAACGTAGAAATTTAAACAATCATGAAAACTTCTCAAGGTTACATCACTAATTAGTAGCAGGACTCATATTAGACCATAGAACTAATGATGACAAATTATTAGCTATTTGAATGGAACTATTTGATGATATCAAAGCTCTAGAACAGTAGATTTAGAAAATCAAGTTTAGGAAAACCAGGTACACATATATAAGGAAACAGATCAGAAATGGAAAGGTTTGCCTCCTGTGGTTCACAATGTTCTTAGAGAGAAAAGGATGCTTGTTTTTTTTTTTTAAATAAATGTCACTTTTCTGTTCCTACAGAAAATCTAAATATATATATATATATGGAGATATATATATATACACACACACACATATATATATTAGCATAACATTTGAGCAACTTAATTTCAACATGGGAAGGTGGTGTCTTCAAAATAACAGAAATAGAACTAATTTATAAAATGAAAGAAGTAAGCAAAATAAAGAGGGTAAACTGACAAATATTAGCTCTTATTTTTTGTAAAGTTAGTCATCTACTGCAAGTTAGCATGTGCCATTTTCAAGCTGCACTTATATGTATTTATCTTTTAGGAACCTAACCTATCTTACATTCATTATAATTATCCACGTCAGATACTTTATATAAAGAAATAAATTAAAAGAGTGAAAGTTTGAATTAACATCTTTACACTCTCCAATGGACCATTTGAATCCATTTTCACTTTGGAATAAAGAGGCATCTGAGGACTAATTGGTCTTAGAATGATGCGAAATGGTAACTTAAAGGAGCTGTACTGATTCTAAAAGTAACCTGAGTCTCACTCTTTAGTCTTTCACTAGAGTCTAATTTTTCATTAAAATTTGAAATGTCTGCACTACAATAAACTCCAACTGAATAAAGAATTCCAATCAAAAATTCACCTAACTTTTTTTAAATAAACAAGAACATAATCTGTTATACAGTACAGATATAAAAGTGGGTTTCAATTCTAGCTCTTCTCCCCGGCTGCCCCTTGAGTGTTTCAGAAAAAAAGGAAATTCACAGCAAGCAAACAGTGTAGTGTTTCTGTGGATTCAAGTATTGCGTTAAGTACATCAACATTTTTTTTGCTCCTCAAACATCTACGGCTATTTATTATATTCATTTTACTTTTAAAGGACATTGAGGCTCAGTGACAGTAATTTGCCCCATGTCATACAATAGTGATAAGGATGAATTCTGAGCCCAGGTGTTTTGAACTTAAATCCTCTGCTTTCTACTAGCCTTTCTCTTTTATAATTATTTGCAATTGTCCATTTCATATCAGGGTTGCCCTGTAACAACTGCAAAAGCACACAATGACAAAAATCCACCCATACCCTATCAAATCTTTTCAAAGGCCTTTTTTTTTTTTTAATTGTCCTGTTGCTCAAACATTAATAGTATCCAAGTCTGCTCACCATTCATTACCAGATATCTATACTATAAAAGGCCACAACCAGGCAGGGGAACTGAAAGGAGGAGGAAACTGAAAACAAAACTGACAGGTTCAGTAATTAGGTCAGAAAGACTAAGGTCTAAAGGGCTAAGGTTAGGCAACTAAAAAACAGTTTCCTCCTTTATTAGCAACAAATACTGGCAAGGAGCATAACCTTTTAGTGTACTCCAAACATTTACAGATTAAATCAACAAACCAAATAAACAAAATGCTTCTGAACGACTCTTGGGTCAATAAAGAAATATAAGAAATAAAAATTTATCTAGAGACCAATAAAATGGGGAGACAAGCTACCAGACCATACAGGGTTCCCTAAAAGCAACACTATGTGGGATGTTTATAGCAACACAAGCTCACATTTAAAAAAGAAAGATCCCAATTGACAATCTAAACTCTGAGATGGGCCTGGAAGCCCTACCCTCAAGGCAACAGCCATCCAGTAGATAGGCACCCAGGTGTGGCTGCAGGAACCCCCAGGGGCCCCTGAAGCCCAGGTAGGAGCTCTGGAAGTCCCGCCTACCCTCAGCAGCAGTCCAGCTGACAGGAGCTGAGGAGTAAACCACAGGAAGCCCCACTCCTGCCTCTGCCCACCAGCCACAGCAGCCCAGGTACTGGGCAGATACATTCACACCCCAGTAAGAAAGCTCAGAAGTCAAGGCAAGAGCAGTATGGTGAACCTATGTCTAGACCTAACCGAAAGCAGACAGTGAGAGAAAAAAAAATTTGATTTTAGCCAAAAGACTGAGAAGCAATACCAAGGAGAAAGAAAAATAAATTCTGCAGATGAAGAAACTAGAAAAAGAACCTATGTCAAAAACCAGAAGAAACAACAGAGCAGAAATAAATGAAACAGAAAACAAAGACTGTTCAAAAAAATCAATGAAAGCAGGAATTGGTTTTGAAAAAAATAAGCAACACTGACAAGTCACTAGCTAGGATTATGAACAGAGAAAACTCAAATTAATAAAACCAGAAATGAAAGGCAAAATTGCAACAGATAAGGCAGAAATACACAGGTTCAGAAGAACCTACTATATAAGTCTTTATGCAAACAAATTTAGATAACCTAAAGAAATGGACAAATATTTAGAGTCATATAATGAGCCAAGATGAAATAGCTTAAACAGTCTACTCCAGGTACTGAAATTGAAAAAGCAATAAAATGTCTCCTTAAAAACAAAAGTTCAGGACTAGATAGATGGCTTCTCCAGTGAAATCTACACCACCTTCAAAGATGTAATACCTATGACACTCAATCGTTTAAAATAAATCAGAGGAAGGAAAACTCAATACATCCTATGAGGGCAACATTACTCTGATCCCAAAACTAAACAAAGATAGTATGAAAAGAGAAAACTGTAGACTAATATCTAAATAGGAACTATAGGAAACTAGTATCTAACTTTCCTTAGATGTAAAAATCCTCATCAAACTAGCAAACCATATACAGCAACACAGCAAAAGGATCATCCATTATAATCAGGTAATATTTACCCTAGTGATACAAGGCTGGTTCAACAAACACAAATCAATGTCATCCAACAGATCAAAAAAAAAAGGAAAACCACAGCTTCCCTGGTGGTGCAAGGGGTTAAGCACAGCACTATGAATCAATCTGCAGCCTCTGCAGCATGTGTTCGCTCCCCGGCCAGGGGAGCTACCCACATGGTGCAGCAGACCTCTCCTGACTCGCTCGCTGCTCCTCTCAGAAGTGTACTTCGGTCAATCTGCCTGTTCGTTCCCCACTCTGTCTCTGGTCAATCCTCTTACCCCCCACATCTCTGGTCTGTACCCAGCTCTTGTATGCATAAATAAGTAAATCTTTAAAAAAATAATAAAGAAAAACCATATAATCATCTCAACAGATGTGGAAAAAGCATTTAACAAGATCCAACATCCATTTATGATAAAAACTCTCCACAAAATGGTAATACATGGAACTTCTCTAAACATTATAAAAGTGGTATATAAGAACTCACAATCAGTATCATACTCAATGGTGAAAAGCTGAAAGCATTCCCACTAACATCAGAGGCAAGAATGGGATGTCCAGTATCACCACTATTATTCAATATAGTTTTGGAAGTTCTGGTTGAAGCAAT